GTTAGAAGTTTATACGCTGGAACTCAATAAACCAGCATATTATGCTAGAACTTTCCGTGTGCTGGAGTTCCAACATAATACGCTGGAAGTGTATATGCAGGAGCTCCATAATCCAGCATATTATGCTGAAACTTCCCGTGTTTCAGCAAAATAATGACTATTTCTTAATAACTTTGAGAACGCTGACTATTTTTCAAATTACCAATCTGAAAACTGTCATTTCTTCTTCTCTGGAAAGAAACTTGTTGAGGGTCAGTTTTGCTTTATTTAGCTACTTGACATATTGCTTCAAATTTTCCTTTGCGATGAAGAAGAAAGGAACTTCGAGGAAAAGCCCTAAAAAACGTTACTGATAGTAATATTTCTACTATTGATTTGGGTGCTTTCTCACAGGATTCACCCAAAAAAATGGTGAAATCCCGATATGCAACACCAGAGAGAAAGTCCAAGATTTCCCCTCATGAAGCTAGGGCAGATGTCACGACCCAAAACCCACTATAGATCGTGATGACGCCCAACTTCACTGTTAGGCAAGTCAATGGTGAACTATCAGTTTAATTATTCATTTTATTATTTTTAAAATCATAAGCCTTATTAAGTAAAGGATTCAATGCGTTTAAAAATTATGAATACTTAAAATATTAGTAAAATATAAATTAAAAGATGACAGTATTAATACGAACCATAACAATCACTAAAGTATCCCCAAAAATCGGTGTCACAAGTGCATGAGCATTTACTAAGGACTACAATAATAATACAACATCTATCCGAAATGTAAATAAGACAAAATAGAGTAAATAGTACAATGGAAACTCTGTGGGCTACGATACGTAGCATGGTATGCAGCTACGTATTTAGGAATATACAGTTCGTACGTAGCTAAAGCATGTTTACGTCCGGGTAGACTTAGGACATTATCGGATGTGATTTGATAGGTTTCGATGTCGGTTGTAGAAATTGGACGTTTCAAAGTTCATTGTGCTTGAATCCATGTGCGATTCGTGTTTTTGATGTTGTTTGAGGTGATTTGGGGGTCCGACTAAGTTCGTATTGTATTATAGGACGTGTTGGTATGTTTGGTTGAGGTCCCGGAGGCCTCGGGTGGATTTCGGATGGATAACGAATTAAGTTTTGAACTTAACACATTTTGCTGAAGTTGGCAGTTGCTGGTGTAATCGCACCTGCGGAATGGGCACCGCAGACAAAAGCGGTCAAGTAGGAAGCATGCAAATTTAGAATTTTCTTTCCAAATCAACTCTGAACTTTCTGAAATTAAATTCTGGCCACACGTACAAGTCATAATACCTGAAGTGAAGCTACTCAAGACCTCAAACCATTGAATAACGTGCTAGAACTCATAACAACCGGTCGAGTCATTAGAACAGAGGCGCGAACAAAACTCAAGCATTACAGGGATGCTGCTGATGCTTTGATATCTGCTAAATAAATAAAACGGAAGGAGAAAGAAATTGCTCATGATGACAATTTCGTCGAAGAAGAAGTAATTCCGAAACCTGAAAAAAATTAAAGTTTCTCCTGCTGGCAAACCTTCAAAAAGGAAAAAGGTTCAAAAATCTCCTAAAACATATCCAACAGTCATTAGAGAAGGTAAAATTATAGTACTGATAATTTTTATTTTTTATTTTTAGTTAAAAAGTTATTTTCATTCTCATCCTGATACCAATTTCTTTTGTTCTATAATTGTAGTAATTTTGTCTACATTGTGTATATTTTTTGTTGTTTATCAATGTTTCTACATATTTCTTGAAATTATAGATTTTTTGTATATTATTTAAAATAATTTTGTTAGGGTATGTATTACATGATTTAGTTAGTTTTATTGGTTAATTTTTGCTCTCTTTGTAGATGTTAATTTCATTTTCTGTAAACAGATTGTATATATTATGTCCAGTTGTTAGTTTTGTTCCCAATTTTTTAAATGTAGATTACTTTCTAGTGTCTTGCTTTAAACATAAAATTGTCAATTAATTTGTAGTTTCACTGTAGTTCAGTTATTGTATTTATTTATTAATTTTATAATTTATTTATCTGCAATGTATTATTGTCTTTCTGGATGTAGATAAAGTATAGCAGAATTGTTATTATTTTATTTTTCTATCTTTAAACATGTTTTATTAACTTATTTTTCTTTTGGTGCAGAATCAGGCATTGTTTGCACCATATGGTGTTGATTATGGCATCACTAGGGTTCAAACATTATCCGACCTTGTTGTTCGTGCCCAAATCAAGATATTATTGTCTAAAAATGGGATAAAATTATTTAAGAAGACATGTTTTGGACACTTTCTTTGCATGCCCAAAATATGTATCCAAAATCATGCAATTCACCTTCTGATGAAGTGCGAATTGAACACATCCAAGTCTGATTTTTTACAGCAGAGATAAAAGGTGAGAGGCTGAACTTTGTGTTGAGGGAGTTTGCTCTTATTACTGGCCTTAAATGTTTTACAAAAGTAACCGACTTTGGTTGCACACCTAAGTATGATAGTAAAACAATGAGGAGTTATTTTCCGAACAAGAAAAAAGTTGAGAAGCCATACCTGAAACATATTGTAACCAGCCGTAGTTGGGTGAATGATGAGTATGCAATCAAGCTATGAATTCTTTATCTGATAGAGTTCTTCCTCTGTCTTTCATAGAAAGATAATGGTTTGATAGACCATTTTAGGTTCTATTTGGTTGACTCAAGGTAGTATGCAAATTTCTCATGGGGTATAGAAGCTTATACATATTTGCTTCAGTCTGTTAGGCATAAGTTGAACCCTTCTGTGCATTTTTATCTCCTTCGAGGTTTTCCACTCACTATGCAAATATAGTTGTATGAGTGTTTCTCTACAGTCAACACAAATATAGCTACAAAGGTTGGTAATTTGATCCCCCGCATCCTTAACTGGACAACAACAAAAGGATATAGCCTCAGAAATTCTGCCTGCAGTTTCGTGGCAGTGTCATGACCCCAGTTTCCCTAAGTAGGATGTTGTGATGGTACCTAGTCTCTAAGACTAGATAATTCTAACAATTCCCGGAATAAATGAATAATAAATTGAACTCTAATCTAAACACATGATATATAAATATAAAACTGCAAACCCATTATTACACTCCCAAAATTCGGTGGAAACAAGTCACAAGCTTCTAAGAGCAAATACTAAGTGTCTCTATACATTAGAGTCTAAGGAAACAACATAGTAAAAGATAGAAGGGGGGACTCCGACGTCTGCGGATGCTGGCAAATATACCTTAAAGTCTCCACGTGTGGTCCAACTCACTGGTATCTGGCCTAGTGGGAAGAACCTGGATTTGCACAAAACGATATACAGAAGTGTAGTATGAGTACACCATAACGGTACCCAGTAAGTGACAAGCCTAACCTCGATAGAGTAGTGGCGAGGTCAGGTAAGGGCCCTACTAGTTTAAAAGAAAAGTAAGGCAGAAGATATAATAACATTTTGAAATGACTGAGAATTTCAACAATAAAAAGTTTCAGAAAATATCAGCACAATAAATAAAGGTAAACAATAGGGGCACTCCCGAGGCACCGCCTCGTAGTCCCAAATGTAAATATGCACGACAGGGGGGATCTCCCGTGTAAACGCCTTGTAGTACCAAAGTAAATATGTAGTACATGGGGATCTCCCGAATAAACGCCTCGCAGTCCCAAAGTAAATATGCAGTACATGGGGATCTCCCAAGGAATCGCCTCGTAGTCCCAAAATAAATATGCAGTACATGGGGATCTCTCGAGGAACCGCCTCGTAGTCCCAAAGTAAATATGCAGTACATGGGGATCTCCCGAGGAATCGCCTCGTAGTCCCAAAGTAAATATGCAGTACATGGGGATCTCCCGAGGAACGACCTCGAAGTCTCAAATTAAATATGTAGCACAGGGGGATCTCCCGAGGAACCGCCTCGTAGTCCCAAAGTAAATATGCATCCGGTAATCGAAGGAAACACGAATTTAGAACAAGAATCTTACAGTTAAAGATTTAATTCAAATCAAGGAAAGCACGTAATTCAACTAAGCATGTTGCATAAATTGCAAGTAAGAGTTAAGGCACGTAGACATGCCATACTAGGCTAAACATGATCACTAAATATGCTAAGGCAACTCAGTTAAGGAATTTAAAAGATGACAAATCAGCAAGAACTGAATTTTGCAGAATCAGCCTATGTACGCACTCGTCACCTTGCGTACACGGTGCTCACATATCACAAATTGTTATAACATTACCAAATCCTAAGGGGATTTTTCCTACACAAAGTTAGACAAGTCACTTACCTGAAATCTCCCTCAATCAATCGATAAGGATGCCTTTCTCTCGATTTTTCGACTCCGAATGGCCCAAATCTAGCCAAAAGCAATTACATATCATGAATACAACTACACGAAACTAATTTAAATAATAAATCTACGACTTTAGCAAAGAATCGAAAATTCTGTCCAAAAAGTCGACCCAGGCCCACGTCTCGAAATTAGATAAAATTCACAAAATGCGAACACGCATTCGATATCGAGTTCGCCCATACCAAAAGTCGCCAATCAAATCCTCAAATCAAACTCTCCAAATCTCTAGCCTCAAACTCCCAAATTCCTCCTTAACTACACACTAACTAGGTGGGAAAATCAATGGGAAAACAAGATTATTGATAAAAAATAAGTACAAGAGACTTATTTCAAGAAATCTCTCGAAAATGCTCTCAAGAATCACCAAAACCCAAGCTCAAAATGTCCAAAATGAAGAATGAAATAAACCCTCAAAATTGCCCCTTTTCTGCCTAGAGAAATTGCTTCTACAAGTCCACAACCGCATTTGCAGCTTCGCACATGTGGAATTTCCATCGCATGTGCAGTTCTAACTTAGTCCAGGCACGTCCGCTTCTTCGGACCCAAATGCGCAGCTGCACTTCCGCTATTGTGGCCAAGGAGCACTTCTTCGCACCTACTCCTGCGGACCAAGTCCTCTCCTGTGACTAACATGCTTCCCAGGACTTTCTGCTTCTGCGCTCATTCCTCCGCAGAAACAACTCTACTCCTGCAGTCTTCACGTCGCATCTGCGACCACTGGCCAAGTCCCCCAGCCTTGCATCTGCGCCCAATTGCTCGTTGTTTGCGGAACTGGTGCCTTTAGCCATTCTCACAAGTCTAATTTGATCCGTTAACCATCCGGAATCCACCCGAGGCCCCGGGACCTCAACCAAACATACCAACAAGTCCTAAAATATCATACGGACTTAGTTTATCCCTTAAATCACATCAAACAAAGCTAAAAACACAAATTGCGCATCGATTCAAGCCTAAAGAACTTCAAACTTCTACATCTGACACCGAAACCTATCAAATCAAGTCCGATTGACCTCAAATTTTGCACACAAATCATAATTGACATTATGGACCTACTCCAACTTCCCGAATCAGAATCCAATCCTGATATAAAAAAGTCCATTCCCAGTCAAACTTACCAAAAATCATTCCATTTTCCAACTTTTGCCAATTGACGCTAAAATGACCTACGGACCTCCAATTCAACATCCGAACACCCTCCTAAGACCAAAATCACCCTACGGAGCTATTGGAACCGTCAGATCTCCATTTCGGAGTCGTTTTCACATAGTTCAAACTACAGTTAATTCCTACGACTTAAGCTTCCATTTTAGAGACTATGTATCCCATTTCACTCCGAAAACAAAAACCAAACCTCCCGGCGAGTCACGTAACCATAGAATGAAATAGAGGGAGCAATAAATAAGGGTTCGGGGCTAATTCTCTCAAAATGACCGGCCGAGTCGTTACATCCTCTCCTTCTTAAAACAAACGTTCGTCCTCGAAAGAGTACATAGATATACCTGAAGTGGTGAAAAGATGAGGAAAACTCCTGTGCATATCATGCTCGGTCTCCTAAGTCGCCTCCTCGATCGGATGACCCCTCCACTGCACCTTCACTGTCGCGATGTTCTTTGACCTCAACTTCCGTACCTGCCTGTCCAAAATGGCCACTGGCTCCTAAATATAAGATAGATCCTTGTCCAACTGGACTGAGCTGAAGTCTAACACATTAGACGGATCGCCGTAATATTTTCGGAGCATAGAAACATGGAATACTGGATGAACTGTAGAGAGACTAGGTAGTAGTGCAAGTCTGTAAGCCACCTCTCCAACCCTCTCAAGAATCTTAAAAGGTTCGTTATATCTAGGACTCAACTTGCCCTTCCTTCCGAACCTCATAACATCCTTTATGGGCGAAACCCGGATCAAAACCCGCTCCCCAACCATGAATGCAATGTCGCAAACCTTCCGATCCGCATAACACTTCTTCCTGGACTAGGTTGTATGAAGTCGATCCTGAATCAATTTAACTTTCTCCAAGGCATCCTGAACCAAGTCTATACCCAATAGCCTAGCCTCGTCAGGCTCGAACCAACCCACTGGAGACCAGCACCGTCTACCATACATAGCCTCATACGGCGTCATCTGAATGCTCGACTGATAACTGTTGTTGTAGGCAAACTCCGCAAGTGGCAAGAAGTGATCCCAAGAACTCCCAAAATCAATCACGCACCCACGAAGAATATCCTCTAGTATTTGAATAGTGCGCTCGAACTGCCTGTCCATCTAAGGGTGAAATGTTATACTCAACTCCACATGAGTACCCAACTCACACTGTACCGCTCTCCAGAACCGTGATGTAAACTTCATACCCCGGTTAGAGATGATAGATACCGGTATGCCATAAAGCCTGACAATCTCGCGAATGTAAACCTGAGCCAGCTGCTCCGAAGAGTAAGTAGTAACCACAGGAATGAAATGAGCTGACTTGGTCAATCTATCCATAATCACCCAAACTGCATCGAACTTCCTTTGAGTCTGTCGGAGCCCCACAACGAAATCCATAGTGATTCGCTTCCATTTTCACTATGGAATCTCTAACTTCTGAAGCATTCCACCCGGTAGCTGATGCTCATACTTCACCTGCTGACAATTTAGGCATCGAGAGACATACTCCACTATGTCTTTCTTCATTCGCCTCCACCAATAGTGCTGCCTCAAGTCCTGATACATCTTCGCAGCACTTGGGTGAATGAAATATTACGAGCTATGAGCCTCCTGGAGAATCAACTCACGCAAGCCATCTACATTAGGCACACCTAGCCTGTCCTACATCCGTAATACACCGTCATCTCCAATAGTGACTTCCTTGGCATCACCGTGCTGAACCATGTCCTTAAGGGCAAACAGATGGGCGTCATCAAACTGACACTCCCTGATGCGATCATAAAGAGAAGAATGAGAAACCACACAAGACAAAACTCGCCTCGGCTCGGAAACATCCATTCTAACAAACTAGTTGACCAGGGCCTGAATATCCAAGGCTAAAGACCTCTCTGCTACTAGTAGATGTGATAAGCTGCCCAAACTCTCCGCCTTGTGACTCAAGGCATCGACCACCATATTGTCCTTCTCGCGATGATAGAGAATGGTGATGTCGTAATCCTTAAGCAACTCCAACCATCTCTGCTTCCACAAGTTAAGATCCTTTTGTTTAAACCGATGCTGTAGACTCCGGTGATTGGTGAAAACCTCACAAGGAATACCATACAAATATTGTCGCCAGATCTTCAAGCCATGAACAATAGCTGCTAACTCAAGGTCGTGGACAGGATAATTGTTCTCATGCACCTTCAACTGTCTGGACGGGTAGGCAATCAACCCACCGTCCTACATCAACACCGCGCCGATGCCAATGCACAACACATCACAATACACCGTATAGGACCCCGATCCAGTAGGCAACACTAACACTAGGGCTGTAGTCAAAGCAGTCTTGAGTTTTTTAAATCTCTCCTTAGACTCCTCGGTCCACCTGAACGGAGCACCCTTCTGGGTCAATCTGGTCATAGGTGCTGCAATAGACGAGAAACCCTCTACAAATGGACGGTAATACCCCGCCAAGCCAAGAAAACTCCGGATCTCTGTAGCTGAGGACGGTCTAGGCCAACTCTGTACTGCTTCATTCTTCTTCGAATCTACCTTGATCCCCTCACTCGATACTATATACCCCAAAATGCCACTGAATCTAGCCAGAATTCACACTTCAAAAATTTTGCATATAACTTCTTCTCCCTCAAGGTCTGAAGCACAGTTCTTAGGTGCTGATCATGATCCTCCCGACTCCGGTAGTACACCAAAATGTCGTCAATGAATGCAATGTTGAAAGAGTCGAGATATGGCTGAAATACACTATTCATCAAGTGCATAAATGTTGCTGGGGCATTGGTCAGCCTAAAAGACATCACAAGGAACTCGTAATGACCATACCACGTCCTAAAAGCAGTCTTCGGGACATCTGGCTCCCAAATCTTCAACTGATGATATCCTGAACGCAAGTCGATCTTAGAGAACACTCTGGCACCCTGAAGCTGATCAAATAGGTCATTAATACGTGGCAATAGATACATGTTCTTCACTGTAACCTTGTTCAACTGGCGATAATCGATACACATTCGCATAAAACCATCCTTTTTCTTCACAAACAAGACAGGAGCACCCCAAGGCGATACACTGGGCCGAATGAAGCCCTTATCAAGCAACTCTTGCAACTGTTTCTTTAACTCTTTCAACTCTGCTGGGACCATCTGATACAGTGGAATAGAAATGGGTTGAGTGCCCGATAACAAATCAATGCCAAAGTCAATATCTCTGTCGGGCGGCATGCCCGAAAGATGTGCCGAAAAAACATATACAAAATCCCTTACTACCGGAACTGACTCGACGGTAGGAGTATCAACACTAACATCTCTCACATATGATAGATACATATTACACCCCTTCCCAACCATTTGCTGAGCTTTAAGAAATGAAACAACCCTGCTAGAAACATGATCTAAGGTACCTCTCCACTTTAGCCGCGGTAGAACTATCATAGCAAATGTCACCATCTTAGAATGATAATCAAGGATAGCGTGATAGGGCGACAACTAGTCCATACCCAAAATAACATCGAAATCCACCATACTGAGCAATAATAAATTGGCTATGGTCTCAAAACCACTAAGAATAATCAAACATGATCGATACACATGGTCAACAATAATAGAATTACCCACGGGTGTTGATACATAAATATGTGAACTCAAAGAATCACGGCATACACCTAAATACGAAGCGAAATAAGATGACACATAGGAATAAGTGGAGCCTGGATCAAATAATACTGATGGATCTCTATAACAGACCGGAACGGTACCTGTGATGACAACATCAGATGCAATTGCCTCTGTCCTAGCGGAAAGGGAATAATATCTAGCCTGGCCTCCCCCTCTAGGGCGACCTCTACCTGTCCGACCTCCACCTCTAGCTGGTTGTGCAGGTGGGGTGGTAGTTGGTGCTGTAACCATAGCCTGAGGACCTGGTGGAGCATGCGGTGCCTAAGAAATCTGTGGAGGTGCACCCTTCCTGAATCTGGGGCAATCCCTCACCAAATGACGAGTGTCACCACACTCAAAACAAGCTCTTGGAGGACGTGACTGCTACGACTGGCTCAGGCCTGATCGGCTGGACTGACCACTGGAAGCACCCCGTATAGGAGGCACACTAGACACTGGTGGTGTATAATAAGGATCCTGGTGCCTAGGAGTGGCCGGAGTACCGCTGGCAGCTGGAAGTGCTGAATGAACAGGGAGATCCATATAACCTCTGCCCTGACGAGCTGTAGCTGGGGCATGAGTACCACATTAAGTGCCAGACTCTCGAGACCTCTTGGACTCTCTCCTCTCTATCCCGAGTCAGCATTCCCTCTAACCTCATAACTTTCCCTACTACTTGTTGATATGCAATATCCATCTCCAACTCTCGGTCCATGCTCAATCTGATGCTGGGGTTGAGCCTCTCAATAAACTGACGAATCCGCTCTCAAATAGTAGCAACCAAGGCTGGTGCATGGCTAGCCAAATCATTGAATCGGACCGTATACTCTGACACGGTCATAGCACCCTGGCGCAACTGCTCAAACTCTGTGCGCCAAGCATCTCTGAGACTCTGGGGAACATACTCCCTAAATAACATATCTGAGTACTGAGCCCAAGTGAGTGAAGATGCCTCAGTCGGACTATCCAACTCGTATGTACGCCACCACTGA